TCAGTCTAGACTTGGAAATAAACTCAAGTTTTCAGTTGTTAGTGTGTGTGGACCTGATCATGGATATCAATTATCAAGAAGTTTATTATAATGAAAGTGCTTTGACATGAATTTTCACTGTATAAATTAGAAAATGAAGAGTTTGTTTGATTCAGTATATTTGATAGCAGTGGTGATCAAGCATTTCATGATTTAATTTTTTGCTGTTAAAAAGGTTACTATATAGTTTCAAATTTCTTTTTAGTTCCGCTTCGTAGATGTTTGGGGCAACAGTGTTAGCAATTGTTTAATACCACTTCCAATGTAATTTGTTTATACTAATTCAATGTTATCATGGCCACAGACAGCTTTCGGGATTCATGAAAGTTTTATACAAACTAAATTATGTCCTTTTTTTTTTCAATTCCCTTCTTCTGCAGGAGGAATGTAAGCGACTTCGCCAGAGTATCAAATGTGGACTCATCAGAAGGCTGACTGTGGTAGTTATGATAGCACTTCTATCTTTACTTTTAGCCTAGCAAGTTGATATTTCTTATTAGATGATATGTTTGGTCTGTAGGGTGAGATTCTTGACAAGACAACCGAAATACAGGCAGCCAGAGTCAATGATGTATGCTCATCTTTTCCCTTAACTTTTGCAAATTGCTTAGTTTGTGAATGATTAAAGTTGGGTAATATGATCTGGATCCCCTATTTTTACAAGGGTAATGTTTCCTATGATATTTTGGTAGTTGAGACTTGAGAGAGATGCATGCCTGCCTGGTATGGAGTATTGTAATATAATTTCTCTTGATATTTTTCTGTGTGTATTAGTGTTATACAACTTAAGAACAAATTAGAAGAGGGAGGGGTAGACCTAGGAAAACTTGGAAGGAAACAATAAATATTTAGATTTGAATGAGGATAATGTGTTTTGATCGAGCACAATGGCAACATGTGATTCATATAGCCAACCCCACTTGGGTGGGATTTTAACGGCTTGTTGTTGTTGTGTTGTAATAGTGTTATACAAGTTATGGTTCAATGAAGAAATGCAAGTCACTCGTCCTTTTTGAAAGGGAATAAGAGACACTCGAGTTAGATTTCTAGATTGGGAGGGTTGTGTCACTTCTCCTCTTTTTTGCCGTAATTAGAAGTTGTTGAAGAAGACTTCAGTTGATTAATTCCCACTGGTTTTCAAGTTAACTTGCCTGTTGCGACTCTATCACTAGAAACCAGCTATTTTATGGTCTTTTTTCTTGTCCTTGCATAGCTTTATTTGCACCCGCTTGTAAGCAGCTCATTATAATTAGGTTATATTGATATTGTGCTCCACTAGTTTAGTAGCTCCAAGTTAATAAATCATCTCCAGACATAGAATAGCCTAAGTTAGACGTCGTTGAGAGTGCAAAATGAGCACATGGGATAAGCATTGTCTTGGATGCCTTTGCCTCATCAGAATTTAATACCCTCAATTTGATATGATTTCCTGATATTGTTCCAGATTTTAAATACCGAGAGCCATTTCTCACTATTCTTTTATATAGTGCCGTGTAATAACTGGGCCGACAAACGTCGTGGTTTAAATCATTACATCTCATATGCAGCTAACATCTGATATTTTTCTAATGCATATTGTCTTGTTGTTTTATGCAGTGGCTGGAATCAGAGACCTTGAGGCTGAGTCATCTACGTGATCGAGCGAGTGATTTAGGCCGTCGAAAGGAATATCCTTTTCTTCTTTTTTAATAACATATATAGTTTACATTTTTATCTGTAGCTTGCCCTTTAAGACATTAAGGATTTGATCTGAAATACATGACCATTAGCTTATCTTTTAGGGGACATGTGTGACAGCCAATGTTCTGAATCTGTCCAAATCGCGTATTTTTATTTTTTATTCTTTTATTTTTATTTTTTTTGTAACACTGAGGTGAAACATTTAGCCAAAAATACTTGTCCATAAAATATAAATGATTCATATGTTGTTATTACCCTTGACTGAGTATCACGCTTAGGGAATGTGTAGAGAAATTACAGCTTTTGAAGACTCCCGAAGAGCGTCGACGCAGGCTTGATGAATTTCCTGAAATACACGCAGATCCAAAGATGGACCCGAGCTACGAATCGGATGATAATGACAGTGAAAATGAAGACAGTAGAAGAGGTTATTATTTTATCCAGTGACTTTTCAGATCAGTATTCAAATTTCAAAGTCGTCCTGCAACTAACATCTGACCCTTATTTTGAACTTTAATCTTTTTTTTTTTTTTTTTTTTCCCTGTGCAGATGCTTTCATGAGAGCTAGAGGTATTAACAGGAGGCCACGGGCCCCAATCTCTCCTGGAAGTGATAGCTCCTCGAAATTAACAATTAAAAATTGGGAATCGACAAAGTATTCGTTGGGCAGTAGCTTTTCTGCCAACACTACTCATGTTGGCGAGATAGTAAACGATAATTCTTCTTGGAATTCGGAAAGTGTTATTAAAGGTACGGACGGATTCGGTAATTTAGAGAAACAGATTTCCAGTTCTAACCCTGAGCATATCGAGCGGGCCCCACGCTCCACTGCTTCAGTGATGATAACCCCACAATCATCATCTCTCTCATCTGGAGGAGCAGCAGTTGAAATTGCTGCTGTCAAGATAAACGAGTCGGAAAAAATATGGCATTATCAGGACCCTTCAGGTAAAATCCAAGGACCCTTTTCCATGGTGCAACTGCGTAAATGGAACAACACTGGTTATTTCCCGGCCAATCTAAAAATCTGGAGATCCTCCGAGAAGCAAGAGAAGTCGATACTTTTAGCTGATGCTTTGGAAGGAAAATTCCCGAAAGATTCGCCTGCAACTAATAATAATAATAATAATAATACCCTTTATAATAGCTCACATTCCTTGGGTAGCCACTCTGTGAAGTCATCTGAAATATCCTTACACAAAGAGAGATCATCAAATTTGGATCAAAATCTCGGGTCCCGCACTAGACCAGAACGGTGGCGTGGAAATGATTTTACGAACTTGCCTTCTCCAACTCCAAGACAAAGTAATTCGGGTTGGGATGTTAAGGAAAGAGGTTCTCTCTCGGTGGCAACTAATCAAAATCAAAACCCTGCGATTAATGGAGTCCTTGCTTCTCCTACTCCCGTCTCACCGTACATCGGGACTCGTTCTCCTTCTGTTGTTGCATCATCGTCGATTGTAAATCCAGCCATCCAAGCGGCCCCTTTCAGTCCAACCCCCGATACCCAGCAAGGAACAACCTTGCTGACATCAGCAGTTCCTCTGCACGCTCAGCCGAATCTGACGAGCGAACCTCCGGCAGTTTCACCGCTCGCGATGCAGATGCCGCCAGCTCATCTGCCAGCTGGGGGCGTGCAAGCTCAAAACCCTCAGGGTGGTTACGTGTGGGGTCCTCCGGCGGCGGGAAACGCTCCTCAGAATTCTTCCGGAAGCTTCCAGAACTCGGGCACGCCGCCACCTCCGCCGCCAGCTGGGCTCCAGCCTGATCCCTGGAGACCTGCTGCTGCTCAGCCGCTTAGTCAGCCAAACATGTCTCCTTTGCCGTGGGCCGGTGTGGGTGGGCCCACAGAGAACAACGCCACGAACCCTAATATGGTCTGGGCCGCGAATATGATACAGCAGCAGCCTAATAATAATCCGAACATGGGATGGGGAAGCTGGGGCCCACCACCTGCAGTGCCGGTGCCGAACAACACTTCCAACTGGGGTGCTGTTCCTGCCCCTGGAAATGTCGGGCCCAACAGCAACCCAGGCCCAGTGCCTGGGTATGTGAATCCCGCATGGGGTCAAGGCCCAATGGCGGGTAACGGGTGGGGCCCGCCAAGCGGGAATAATACAGGGGGCCCACCACCGTCGCTGCCAGGCCCGCCACAACAAGGAAATATGAATCAGGGAGGCTCGTGGGGTGGTGGCAGTGAACAACAGAATCAGATGGGTGGTGGTGGTGGTCAGTATTCTTCGGGAGGAAGGGGTGGTTCGGGCCGAGATTCGGGCTATAGGGGCGGTGGGCCCAGGCCTTGGAACAACAACAGGCAATCGTCGTTTGGAGGGGGAGGTTTGAGAAAGCAAGATATGGTGTGTCCGTTCAATAAGAATGGTCGATGTAGGAAGGGGGTGTACTGTGATTTTATGCATACTTGAACTAGAATTTTGTGGGTTTAAGGTTGATATAGATGTTGATGTTTTTTTTTTCTTTTTTTTTTTTGGCTATTTGATCTTTAGCCTGTATTGACGTTCGTTCCTACTTCTGTTTTTCTAATAACTATGAACTTTTTTGCTGAGTTCGGTTTCCTGGTTTTAGCTACTATGAAATGTTGGTCGCGAGTTGTGATTAGCTCGTGTCGGGTTGGGTTGTGCAGATTGTGGTTTTCAAATCAGTGTTATCAATGGCGGAAAATTGGCGGCAGGCTGAAATTCTGCCATTATTGCCGTTCTGTGCAAAATTTTAATGGCGATTAGGAAGAAATCCGCTGCTACACGGTGCTGCCATGGCGGAAGTGCGACGGTTGAAATTTGGTTAACACTTTTGTTATGGTGGATAAAGTGAAGAACAGTATTTTTAATTTTTATTTGTCATGTGCAATAAGCATGTGAAGCATAGTTTATTTTTTATTTTTTTTTTTA